TGATCTGGGACTTCTCTGCCTCACTGACTCTGCCATGAAAGCATCTCTGGGCACTGCCCATCCTGAGAGGAGATCTTGCCAGTGCCTGCCAAGCCAGGGACACCCCAACCCTGAACAGCCAGGCCTGGGAGCCACCCCGAGCTGTCCCAGGGTGGCTCGGGCTCTGCTGTCCCCTCTGGCACTGCAGGGCAGGAATGGGTCACAGCCATGGGGGCTGGTTAGCCTGACAGCCCCCCGAGTGCAGCAGCACCAAGGGAGGAACACGCTGGGTCAGGCCTGGGGCTGGTGAAAACAGGCCTGGCTGCTTGGCTCAGGGAAAAAGGACATTTTGTTGACAAGAAGTCATTTTTTGGCAAAAAAAGGAAAAGTTGATAAAAATATTCTGAAAAATTCAGCTGGGAGAGGACCACGTGCCAGAACAGAAAAGGAGCTGGGGCCAAGCAGTTTAAAGAGCCCGATGCTCTCCCAGTCCTCTGGGCTCCCACATCCCTTTGGAGCAGAAGTGAGGGGGAGCTGGCTGGGCAGGGTGGGCTGTAGCCCCCGCAGAGCCCAGCCCCAGCTGCCCCTGCCCCTTTCACTTCAGGGGAGCTGACAGGGGCAGGGCAGCCTCGCTCCAGGCTCCCTCCTCACTGTGCAGAGCGGGCACACACACACACACAGCTGGGATAAGGCCTGTTTTCTGCTGGGGCTGAGCTGGGGGGGCTTCCCGGACACCATTCCCAGGGACAGAGCACAGAGGAATTTCTCAGGGGTCACCAAAGCCCCCCCTGTCCCAGCAGATGTCTGCCAGCCATGGCCAGCAGCACAGAGCAGGGAGATGAGGGAGCACAGTCCCTTGGTCTGACACCCGCCTGCGACTGATGCAGCAAACGTGACACACGCAGGACCCACGCGTGGGGCCAGGAACTCAGCGTGCCCATGGACACCCCTGCAGAGGGAGAGTACCAACGCACACACGCAGGACCCACGCGTGGGGCCAGGAACTCAGCGTGCCCATGGACACCCCTGCAGAGGGAGAGTCACCACGCTGCGAGTTACAGGCTGACAGTGACAACACAGGGCACAGTGACACACAGGAGCCTCCCTCTCACAACACTCTTTATGCAGGACCTAAATTAAAAGCACATTCATTCCCTGCCTCACAAAGGAACCCAACTACCGGCCTCGGGCAGACGCGTGGCCATCAGAAGGGACAGAGCTTCATCCCTTCTCTGCTCCGGGCTGTCAGGTGTGGCCAGCAGAGCACAGGGGAAGACGTGTGTGGTACTCACAATGCTCCTCATCATCTTGTCCCGCCCCCGCCGCTGAAGGTCACTGCTAACATGGAGGCACATTCCTCGGCGTAGAAGGGCATCGAGCCCGTCTCGTCCACTGCACCTGGGGAAAGCAAAAGGCCTTTTTGCTTCACCTTACAAAGCTGCTTTCATTTTCAGTGCTGAAACTGTAAGGTGACCAGCCCCTGAACGCCTGTCCTGCTCGCTCTGCCTCTCCACAGGCTGGGAGCTGGGCAGGGAAGCCAGACCCAAGCCTGTGGTTTCCATGGCTAGAAGATCTACAGGAAAGGCAGCCACAATAAGTAACTTTTCACTGTGCTTATTACTCGACAGATCTTCCAACCCTCACGTAGCTCCTGCCCTCGAGAACGTGGATCAGATGTTTCATTTCTAACACAGATGATGGGAATGCTGCATTTCAGGTCACTCCCTCAACACGGCAGAGTGTCTGTCACAGCCCCAGCAATGGAGGCCTGAACACAGGCAGGAATTTCTTTGGCCTCCTCTTGCTGTGTAGATCAAAAGGAACCCGCAGACTCGAGGGCTGAAGCCCAGCTACACGCAGCCA